AGAGGGCAGGAGCTTCAATTGCCTGAAGACAGAAGAGCGCCAAGAGGAGGGTCCATTCAACAGATAGTGACCTTAGTGTTCAAAACCTTTGATCTGGGGCAAGTAAACATGCACTCAATCTTGCACCTTTTTTTTTTTTTTTTTTTTTTGAAAAAAGAAAAATCCCTTATAAGACTGCTTAGAAATTCTTTGTCCAAAAATATATAGTTCTCATGTTTCCTGTACACAAAGCAAAAGGAACAACTTCTCCCCGGGGCGCAGGTGAGCGTGAAGCCCACTTCCAGCCCCAGGTAAAGCTGCTCCCACGCCTGCGTTCCTCGCCCAAATGCTCTCAGCATACGACAGCGCGGTGTAAGTGAGGAAGAGGCGTCTAATGCAGCACCCCAGCGTATAAGGAGACACTTCAGCAACATTGTTTTCAAAGCAATTGGGTTTGTTTTTTTTTAAGTGCTTGGAGGTGAACTCCTCAGGCACCCACAGCTCCAGCAATTCTGCTGTGCCAGAGGAAAACAAAGCAGCAGATAACCGGCTCTGTACAACTCGTTACCTCACCGCAACGGCAGCATTTTCCAAGAGTATCAAATTGAGCGAAAGGGTAGAAATCACAGAGGGCTCTGGGACAGAAGCGACACCATACAGCTCCTGGCACAATCGAAGTGGTGGGCACTGGTTTGGACTGAAGGACAAGGGCAGCCAACTGGGAAGGAAACAGAAAAGTGGCAATCGCCACCACTTCTCAGTTTCTCTTACCGGACGGGATACGTTGGCTACTCTGCTCCTCCAATGCCTGGCAGAGTTACTCTGCCCCTCCGATGCCTGGCGGAGGGTGAGAAATCCCCGATGGCACTTTTGCTTCCCTGCCAGCAACGTACTACAACAGCCCCGGGAAAGAAACCACAGCCATTGCCAACTGTGCACAACACCGAAAGCTCCGCATCCGGAAAGGCTGAACTAAGGAGAAGGTTACCTAGTCGCTCCCGAAAAACGCAGCCTCACGAGGCCGAGCAGCCGGCCTCCCAAAGGTCTCAAAACCTACACCAGTCGTCCAGGAGCTGCATCTGGGAAAAATCACGGGCCATCCCAGCAGGTATTGTCGCAACTGTGGAAAAAGTCAAAAAGCTATCACAGCTCTCACTGATTGCTGAAGAGCCATATCCACGTATTGCCTTTGACTTTCTCAACAGTTAAGACTTCTACGTATTTATGTAGGTTAAAGTTTTTTTTAATTACAAAAAAAAAAAAAAGGGGGGGGGGTGCTTTTTGGATCTGTGAAGGAAAATCAGGTATTTTAGTAGATCCCAAAGAGTCAAATTACAGCACGAGACTCAACTTGAGACACCCCCTTAGGCCTAAGCCCTTTTCCCTCTTATCCAGAGGAATGACCAGCAGCAGGTAGATCTCAGCTGTAACTTCTCATGCTCTCTTGTCGCCAAGATCAAGCGCTTCTCCAGAAAACTAAGCTTCTGTACTCTTGGCGACAAAACACAGTGCTGCCATAGCAGGAAGATACATTTAAGACTTTTTTTTTTTTTTAAGAGACAATCAGCAGCCTTTAATACAGGCTGATAATAGGCTCCTTCTCATAAAGGAGCTCAGGTAACAACCCTCCCTTCACAGGGGAGCCACGTGCAGCACTGCAGACCAAAGGCAGACATTGGGAACTGATCCATACCTGAAAAAAAGCAGCAATTCCAGGTTCTCTTATGCCATTCTTTAGTCACAACAGGTACTCCAAGAGCCAGCTGCTCACCCAGGCTCAGCTGACAGGCATCAGCTCTTCTACTTTCTGTGCCGGCAGGACAGGTCTTTGGCCAGACCCTGAGACGTGGAGCTTCTTTACTTATTGCATATTCACCAACAGTCAGCTGCATTCAACAGACTCAAATGAATTGCTTTGCAAGATGACTGCTTCCTCTGCTCCAAATTAAAACCACGTTTTGGTGTGGGTCTTGTGTTACTACTGATAAATAGTTTTGCTAAGCTGGTCTCGCTATCTAGTGAGCCCCAGAAGCTGAGCTGCAATACGTTGACCAAGTTAAGGCATTATTTGGAGTTCTGTAACTAACCTGTGTTTGAACCTGTGGTTGCCAACGCACACCTCTCCAAAACCTCTGAAGGCCACGCTGAGCCCTGAGCCCTCTCGCTACCCAGTGGTTAAAAACCATCCCAACCATCTCCACTCTAACAGACCACGAAGAAAAAGAAAACAAAGAAGAATTAAAAGGCTTGGTCCTGAATCAAGCCAAAGCAGCTTTATAATCACAACTTTTATAGAAGGTTGGTCACTGAAGAAGGGTTCTATAGGAGGACCAATAGATTTTAACAGAGCAGAGAGGAAAAGGACAGCAGAGCTAACAGAGACAACAGCCACAGCTGTGGCATACTACCAGGCTACAAGCATACACAAGAGCAAGAGAATCTGGTTGACTGTCACCAAATGAACAGCTTTTGAGAACACACAGAGGATACCTCAGTGCCTTTTTTTCCCCTAGAATTTCCCTATTTTAGGATGCAACCTTCAAACCTGATGTGCAAAGAGCACCTATCTTGTATTTATCTCAAACATCAGGCAACATGAAGACTGACAAATCTATTAAAACATAAGCAACTCCTCACGAAGAGGAGATAGCAGAGGAATCAGAGACTGATCAGGAATGAAGCCAAAGAAGCTCTAGAGATCAGAACATTTTAAGCGCTATCCTCTAGCGGGCACAAAGAGGCCAGCAGTCCAAAGCAGGTTATCAAGACTGTGGAAGGAGTTACCATCCATTCGCAGCAGGGTTCAGTCACGGATCTTCCCTCTTCTCTTCCCTGCACTTCAACGTAAGCCTCAACTTTGTAAACTTCATGGTCCTGGCAGAATAATCCACAAGATGCACGCAACAGCTTCCTACCACAGAGGCACGCTGTTCTGCAAATGGCTGAAACAGCAATGAACTAAAAGAATGACCCATGGGCAGGTAAGGAAACACCAAGACATGCATATTTCTTTTTGAGGTTCATTTGCTGAAGCTGTGCTGCCAATTGGCCTCTGGCAACTCTCCCTCACCTGTGAGGCTCAGTCCTGTCTCTGCACGCTCAGCTGAGTCCCTGAGCTGTCACCTCTGCCAGCCACCTGCCTTGGACAAGAAGTGAAGCTGTGGCCTGAGTCTCCAGCACAAGGAGATGGATGGTGTCAAAGCTCACATTCAGATCGCTGCTGGAAGAGTGTCAAAAAGCCCTGAGCCTACTTGCCCTGCCCCCCCCCGCCCCCCCCCGCCCCAGCACACACACACACAGAGTAGCTTTTGTGCGAGCTTAAATGGTGAGGTGCAGGAAAAGGTTTGTGATCAGTCACCGGGACTAAACAGAGCCCCAAGTTAGTGAGGTTCTTATTAGTGATTCCTAACTTTGTACAGGTACCAAAGCAAGGATTCTCAGACTGCACAAAACAGCAACCTCATCCTTCCACTTGCAGGTACCAACCCAACACATTCTCCATGTCTAGCTCCCCAGCCAGCCAGACACCTCCAACCATTCAAGCAACCAACCCAAATGTGTTACAATAGAAAGGTAGGTCTGAATTCCAAATCGTTTATGTTACATATATACAAACCTTTTTTAAACTACAGACATTTAAAGAAAGCGTTGCAAATGCATCTGCGTTTTTTCTAAGCTGCTAAACGCAAAAGAGAGCATCGGAGTCCCAGAAGGGCTCCAGTATCCAGACCGAGATGATACATTATTTCTCTCTTATACAGCATTAGGCAAGACCAGTACAGTATCTGAAAAACAAGCATAACAATTTCCCTACCCCTGAAAAAGCCCAGAACACAGCCCTGCAGATGAATATTCACAAGCCCCCACTGTTGGCTGCAACAAAGCTATGGATTGACTGCTGTTTTTAAATATGAGCAGTGAGCGATGTTTTTACATTCATCGTTTGTCTTTCAAAAAACAATCTTTTCACTTTTTTTTTTTTAAACTTATTTTGATATCTCATACTATATTAATTTACTGTGTCTTAAACCAGTACTACTAAAAGACGGCTACAAGGCTATATTCTTTGTCAACTGAACACATACAAAAGATACAGCGCTCCTTAACCAAGTACTACAGCCTGCCCTCAAACACATACACCTCCTTTACGAGAATTCACGTGAGATGCAAGCACCTCATTGCGAGAATTTTTGCCTTGAGAACTGGCCGCTTTAACAGGTGAAATACACAAACCAACTCATGGACACTAATGCAAGTAATGTGCTCGCCTTCCAGAACACGTACTTCTGAAAGTCCTTCAGAAAGTGAATCCATTTTCTCCTTTCAGAAAATCTTCATGCAAAGAACAGCTTCATTTGCGTGTCATAATCATAAATTAAATAAAATAAGCCAGCCGTAAAGGCTAGATAAATATTAGGTTTGGACATGTTGCTATACTACTTAGAGAGCCACAGAGACCAACACACAGCACTCTCACGTACACACACAAGCCTTTCCACTAGTTAGAAAGGATTTTCTCCTGCAAAAGAGGATTTGTAGAAAGAACAACGTTCAGACAAGAGGAAAGGGGAGTTAAAACCCAGCCTCCTATATGCTAATAAATAAACTGCTCTATTGCAAGATTCAGATCAAAGGTTTAAAAAGGCAAAATTATGCTACTATTAGAGAATATCAAAATATTACTGTTATCATCACAAGTGGCATATATGCAAAATGCAGTTGCACAATAATGCCTAGGCAGATAGAGAGCAACACTAAGTCTGCCGACTAAAAGTGAACGATATACCCATTTTAGTTTTCTGTCTAGTCTTTTGGCATCTTCGCATATGGTGCAAAAGCAGAAGCTACCAAAGAATATCACGTCTCGTATAGAATATTAAATAATTTCTCCAGATAAGACTGGTGCAACGCTAGCTAATTTTAAATCTGCTATGAGTAACACAGTCAAACCTAGTTAGTATGCAAGAAACTTATCTCTTAACACAGAATGCAAAGTTATGATGCAACAGCATGAACAATCCCTGGTTGTCCAGTTTTCAGTATAAAGGTAGTGCATAGATCCAAGTTTCTATTTCAGTTTGCTGAACGGAGAAGGAGCTCCCATTTCACTTTTGCTGGGCAGCCTGGAAAGCTTTCAGTTCCAGCTGGTACCACTCCGGTGCTTCTGGCCCATTTTGCCCAACGGGGTTGTGATCATATCCGTAAGCCACTGTCAATTCTTCATCCTTCTCCACAGCCCTGATGGTACGGATACACTTGATAGGCCCGAAACGAGGATGAACAAACCTAGACAAAGAATAAACACCTTTGCTAGGCTTAGCTGTTAATTCACAGACTCTGTTAGCCCCTTTTATAGTTTCAGAAGTCACTCACAGTTCAGAGTAATATCACATAATCTGATATCAGATGAGTAGACTGCTTTGAGTCAATCTTATGAAGACTTAAGTAAGAAGGGCAAAAACATCGACATACTAAAACAGCTTTGTGGAGCTCTATTACTTGGAATTTTTCAACAGTCCTGCAACATTGCTTGTTTGTAACAAAAAAATAAACCACAGTTAATTGTTGCCACATGCCTTGGGCTTGCAGTGGTAAACATCTGCATGACAGGAAAGCAGTATAGATTGTGAGAGGCTGGAGAGCATGGAAAATTGCTCAGTATAGGTTACCTACCAAACAATCATAACATACTTCTGTACATCTTCTCCCAGGGTCCCACAGTAAAGGGAACTGGCTTATTTAATGAAGGAAAATTATTTTCTACATATGTATCTCCACAGGTCCATTCATTTATACATTGGTATGAAAATATTTATACCCTTGAGCATATGTATACATCAAAAGTTTCCTAGTGCTCTGCACCAACTGGCAGAGCAGCAAGATGCTTATTTTTTGAGTTTCAGAAATGACAACACATTTGATGGTGCCGGTCAAGCATCTGTAGTTCAGCAAACACGGTGCATTCCTAGCCAAGCTAGGATTTAGAGAGCTGTGCTAACGCATTTGAGAATCAAGAGGCAGCTCCTGAAGTTCGCGATAAAATTAACACAGTTGCAAACTTCAAGATACTCCATGGCGTACGTCCCAAGAGACGTCAAGCACCCGCAACGCCAGCCAGTTTACAACTCAGCCCAGGTGAGCAGGAACTCTTCAGTGCCTGGACCTGTTACTCCCAGCCCCGCCGGCTGCCCCTCATTCAGCTGCCCAGAAACACCCTGTGAGCCCAGATGCCGGGCTGCAGCTTCCACTCCGAAACACAGGACTCTACTTACGGGTCATAGATGCAGTTAGGAGTGAAAGAATGGTTGGCCTTATGCCCCAGCGAGGCACAGTACTTGGCGGCGTGGTTGTAGGGCTCTGGCACGTCTATGACTGTTTCATCATCCAGGGATATTGTATTTCCATTGAGGGCCCAGTCTCTGCTGTCTACCTAGTTTGCAAGGCAAAAATCCAGCGTGTGTGTGGAGGGGTCAACTTTGCCAGCAGTTTGAAAGCAAACATTCAAACATGTGCAACTAATGCTTTTCCTGTAAGTCATTAAAAAAAAACCCCAACCACCACTTTTTTATATATACATAGGTGAACATGCACTTTCTTTCAATTAAACTCCATCATATTAAATCTTAAGGGTGGGTAGGAGGGGGGTGTAAAATCCTACTATAAGAAGATTTCAGAAGGAGCAATGAAAATTCAGACTGACTTTTTTCTCTCCTTTACCTCCTGGTGTGTAATTCGCACTCCGTTGTAAAAGGACATAACTGTACTGGCTTCTGCTGCTATTTTCGAAAATAATCCTTCTCCAGCACTGGAAATGAGAGACACATCAACATACACCCTACAAGGGAAAAAGGGCATGGAATTAGTGATTGGCTGCAGTTTTAATTTTCAAGAAGTATTATCATAATGCTACTGGCATAAAGACTAATGTTTCAATATAATAACAAAACTAACAATAATTCAAAACCTCCAAATGCAACTCCTTCTCCTTCCTCTCCTCCATACGTTCTCTCTATTTTGGCAAAACTGAGATTTGATGGGAAGTCGGGGCTGACTATCTATTAGTTTGAAATTTTTTTTTTTTTTAAAGTGCCAATCTACTATCATTCCTCGATGATGGCTTCAACTCCAGAACACCCTCAATAACATACCAGAACCCCAGAGGTCCCGACTAAGCTGAGGTTGCTGGTACATACATGCACACATTATTACTCCACTGAGCAAGAGTTTGCAAGGTGAAGCCCTAGATCTTCAAGCACTTGATGAAAAATTATGCCAGAATTTTACTAATCACTTATTTAGATATTTCAGAGTATCAGAAAAGGACGACAGTCGAGATATCTACACAGCAAGGCCTCTTAAAAGTCTAAGTAAAAAGTGTAATTGTGGAATAGCCATGGAAGAGATATAGCTGACTGACTACGGTAAGACAATTGCTGAGGAACGTGTTTTGACATTACACGGTTGTCACAAACAGTATCTCACTTTCCTCCAGCTTGATGATTTACTCTTGCCACTTTGCTACATCTGTGGGGAGAGGAGAAAACTTTGTACATCGCATGCCATCCAGTGAGACACGCTGAATGCAGCACACTGCAACCTGAAGCTAGTTACACATCTAGAAAATAGCAAACAGCATACTTTTTTGCTCAGAATATTGTAGATGTGGGCTATTAGTGGAGTCCAGGACTTGACTGAACGTGTCTTTGAAATGCTAAGAAATTATCCTAGTTTAATCTCTTAAAAAGTATTGCTGTGTTCTATCCGCTAGAGTGCAATTTTATTGATTGAATTTCTTTCTGATTCACATAAGTCAAATGCTGACTGATGTGCAGCAATGGGTTCCATCCCACAAACCCTTACGCATGGGGTTTTTTTAATTTTAAGTAAAAAAAGGTTTGCAAAATTAGGCCCTAAACAATGTAACAGTAAAGAAACACAGACAATATTGAAAGTGGGGAGAAGGAAAAAAGCCTACCTCTCTGACTCGTAAGGATCAGGAAGAAGTGCATTTGTAGAAATGCAGGACGAAGTAGATTTGTCAAAACTGTACACTGGGCCTAAAAAAACAGAAGTCAACAAAGGAAATAAACTAATTGGCAGTAGTGAAAGCGTGCAACCCTTAACTTAATCAAGACATTAAAAAATTAAATTTTAATGGCTGCAAGAAATAAATGTTATGCTTCCAAAAAAAGGTACTAAACAGAACTGCACCTTTAAAAGGTCTTCAGTGAGATGCTGTTTCTTGATTATTTTTTCCCCTCAACATACTACAGTAGCAGTATTGTCACAAAAAGGTGATATATATATATATATTCTTCAAACAACCAACTTTTAAAGGAGGACTGGACAGTCTTTCAAAACCGACCCTCCCAGAATTTCTAATTAAAATTAAAAAGTAAAGCAAAATTTAAAAGGATATATTTGATAACACATTAATTATAAAAAAAATCTCAAACTATTTCAAATATGAAATGTTTTCTAGGCCAAATTCTGCAGACACTTCAGCCAGAAGATAATGTTCAGTAATCACAAAGTACACTTGCTACAGTCATTTATTTCCTGCCATTAATAAGCAGCTCAGCAGTACAGCCTTAATTATATCCTTACATCTCTCTACAATCAACTGCCGGAGGACTATCTGGGAGATAGGTTAAGATGCAGGTGGAAATAAGATGGGGAAAAAAACCCAAAACGCAATACTACAAAGTTTGACAAAAGGCCATTATCCCTGGTGTCCAAGATCTATTCTGGCTGAAGGCAGCTTCCTCCAGAGTGTAATTCAATCCTATGTACAAAGCACAACTGTACCATCTCAGAAGCTATCTTTTAAGTTAAATTTTTATTTGCTATCACTACTGAGAGATTTAAAAAATAAAGTCACATGCATTTGCCTCTCAATGCCTTTTCACTGAGTTTTACGTTCTTATTCCATATTGAGTGAGACAATCTTTGCTGGCAAAACAGTGTGTTAGCATAGTCCCTGTTTATTACTCACAGCCCTGTCCGCAGCTTAACCCATTCACCTCCAAAACATCACATACACCTCAGAGCAACAGAACTACTCCAGAACTATAGGCCCATGCCACCGCTGCCCTGGAGAAGGAGCACGGGCGACAGGGGTCGAAGGCACCACCCTGACCCTAACCATTTCATAGCCACTTTCTATCAGCAGGACTAGACAGACTGAAGGGTGCTGGTGAATCAGACCGCTATACAACAACTGAATCTACTTCACTAATTCCAATCCTTGTGTCCTCTCAGCCCCGTAACGCGGGTGCCAGAATATTCAGTGCTCACGTTCACTTGCACAAGCCCAACTGACAGAGCTACAACCAATCCACAGCCTCCCCCTCCACTTTTAGTTACTTTACTAACAAAATAAAGCCGGCATTAACACCGTTAAGCAGGCTTTCACGCTGGCACAGATGGCAATGGTGTGCACGACGAGCAGGACTGCACCCGTGAGCGTGTGAGAGAAGGGTTATGAAATGCAGTTCAGCTGCACCACCACTTGGGTCACCTCCCATTTGTTCCCAGAGCAAAGGGATCGCTCCATGTGCCTTTCTGTCCAACTTTATAAATTAGAAAAAGGGCTTCTCACTACTAGACTTACTACCTCATCGCAGCCAGCCTTTAGAGTCTCTAACAGGGAACATTACAGAAACAAAGCTGTTTGCAGCGAAGGGCTGGTAGCAAGAATACAAGTTTCTGTGTTAGCTGAACTTACTGCCTGGTACTACTTCAAACTGAGGTTTCCCATCCTCTACAGATGTCAGAGTCGCCAGTTTTGCTTCTATCATTTCTCCATCTATGAACTTTCCAGAATATGCAGTCTTTCCATCAGGGTACACATAGGCTATTTTCTCTCCAGTCATCTCCCCTTCTTCATTCACTTCACCCACAAGGCTGCCTCCATCCTGAAAGCATGGGCAAGAAAGAAAAGGCAGAGCATTTAGTTATACTTTACTACCTTCAGTAAATGAAAAAGATTTTTCCCAACTTTTTAAAGAAGCAACCTAAGCTACAGTAAGTTCAGATGTGAGACCATGAGAGTGAGTGAAAAACAGACACATGAAGAAGCTGGGTGAAGTCATTCCAGTCAGGATAAAACCAATAAAAGAAATGAACAGGGTTTTCTACATTGTTTGAAATAGGCAAAACCCAAGGTCTTTCCTTCCATGTGACACAAATACTGAGTTTCGTTTGGCAAAACTTTTATGTGAACAGTCTGCAGACCAAGGCCCAAAGCCACACACAAACTTCGTCTGAGTTTTCTTAGAACGATAGTGTGCTGGAGGAAAGAAAAAATTAAAATGCCGCCTTGCTCGCTGCTAATTCGTGGTACATCAAAAGACTTAAGCCTATTTAAAAAAAAAGAAAAGAACAAAAAAAAAAAAAGATTTGATGGACAACTGCAGAGCTTCTCTGTCCCAGCATCCCCCTGCGATGTCAGGTGGTTCTCAATGAGAACAACCGGTTGCTGAAAGCCACCAACAGCAACACTTTTCCTCTCTAAGCATTACACATTTTAGCCCTGGGTTTTGACATCTGTGATTTGCCTGCAACTCCGGTTAGGTCTATTTATGGAATTGCAGAATGAAGATGCATAGATTAGCACAGGTCTAACGACTTCAGGTGTTTATTTCAAAAAGGACAAGGAAACATATTCAAATAATGCCCTGGAGCAAAAACATCAGGTGTTATGTGGAAACAGACTGATTTAGATCAAGATCACTGTGCACAGACTCGACTTCAGAGTGGCACCACTTTGTTCAACTCCAAGGATGAAAGAGCTTCAGACATACCATAGTAAGGAACAGTGAACCTTAAGTGTGGGTAAAAACTTGTGCATGTAGCATCATGCACAGAACCACGCATAAACAATTGCTTCCGTGGCAAAAGTTTTTTTGAAACACCTTACATCCTTTAGTCTGGCAAGATGATAATGATAAACAACCTCTAAATATCCAATTTCCAGAAGGTACAGCAACTCTTTGTCAGCCGGAAGATGAAACAGGAGACATATGACCTGAAGGGTCAGCTGTGTGCATTTTATACACTAGTACTGAAAAACTGCTACTTGTTTGGCAGCATACATCGAGTATTTGTGGATTCTAACACACACGCTTAACGGCAATAGTGAAAACCAGTAAATAAAAATGAACAGCCAACAGTGAGCATTTGAAATGACTGCAGCTAAAGTATGTGCAATATGTAGCACAGAAACAGATTGGGGTTTGACCAGCAGCTTAATTACATGCAGATGTTTCCCCCTCCTCAGCACAAGGTAAAGATTGAAAGGTTCAAGTCTAGAGTGTTGTATAAGGCTGAATAGGAATTAAAATTAAAAAAAAGTTACATTGTCTCCCCTCCTAGTTAACTAAGAGCAGCAGGTTGCAGTAGCTTGCATGGCTGCCATGCTCCTCACCTGCAGTCAGCACTACAAAGTGGCAAAATCAGCAGCCCAGCCTTCCCAAGGAGACTCATGCAAATGCACTTCCAAGGGGCTGGGTTCCCTAGAAAATGAAAATAGTGGAGGCGTCTCACAGCCTTGCTGAATCCTGTCTACTGGGTAAACATTCAACACTGAAAAGGTTTAACTGTATGTTGGATTATCCAAAGTCAGAATGCACAGAACTTCCACCCTGATTTCTCTGTTGACTTTTGGGTAGCGGGGTCATGATGGACATTTGTTTCAGCTGGGGAGAAAAGACAGATACATAATGGCATTATTCTGCAATGAAGAGGGCAGGTGGACAGGCTTACCGGGTAATAAATCCAACAAACTCCATGTCGAATGTTGTCTTTATACTGCCCTTTGAATATCAGCCGTCCGTCACTGTCATACTCCTGGGCCGGTCCATTCAGCTCTCCATCCACATATGTGCCATGAAGGACCACTCCATCCTCATAAGTGTAGATTCCCTGGCCTTGCAGGGCGTCATCAACATAGTACCCTTCCAGGGTGCTGGTAAAGACAGAAAGAAAACAGCAGTGGAAGACTATTCACCTCTCTAGGAGGCAAACCCAAAGCCTTGACACGAGGCACAGCACAACCCTGCTCCTCTGCTCACCATTCTACATATTGCTGGTACAGAGAGGCCGAGGGGAAACCCTCAAGAAAGTCAGGTCCTAGGAGGAGGTAACTGTTGACTCCTCGTTTGCTATTGCCAAGTACCCTACAACCCTCCCCAAAACGCACACCGCCACTGCAACAATCACAGCTTTTCTTCATTTTCCCAGTGGCCTCTCTCCGAGAGCCCAGGCTGTCGCGGGGCAGAGCTATGCACCGGCGGACTGAAAGGTACGCTGACAGGCTCGGCGACGGCGCTCTCGCTGGGACACCGCTTCCAGCATCTCTCCTCCATCCCCCGCCAGACATCGCTATCCCCCGTGTCTGAAACTCTGGTGTGTTTGCTAGTTTCAACCAGATTTGAGGGGGACAAGGGAAGGGGAGTAGGAAGGTAAACCTGACTTCTCTGGAAAGCCAAGATGAAAAACAGAACCTTTTTTCTACGGACCTCCAAAGGCAGAGAACAACTTACGCTGTCCTTTCACCAGGGTGCGCTGCATGGTGCGTTATTCATCTAAATTACGTTGCTGAGCTTTTCTTATAGGCTGGGGTAGCAAATTACAGCAGCGAATGGATGCTTGTGGTCAAAGAAGAAATTATTGCTCAAGCAGGCTACTCTCGCGTTAGGATTTTCTACCTCCTACGTTTGGATCTTTGCTGACACCTCTTTGGTGAGATGAAATTGAACTGCCATACAGGTGGACTGCAAAAAGGCACAAACTGCAACCTGCTGCCAGTTCAGTGTTAGCTCCCTAGTGATACACTTAGCAGCAATTTGTACCGGAGTTGCTAAAAGCGCTGTCATTTTTCATGTATTTCTACTAAAATGGAACGCAGCCTGTCAAACAGAACTAGTGCTGCACTTGGATTTGAACAAAGAAACGTTTCACTTCAGTTGTGTCTTGCAAACCCTTTTGAAGGGGAGCAATATCTCGCAATCTGCTTTGCTTCCTTTCTTAAAAAAAGGCTGCTGAGAGAAACTACAAAGAATGAAAGCATAACTGTGAAAGAGGATCTACTCAGTTATTCCTTTCTCAGGTTAGAACCAGCATAAGGAAATACGAACTGTTTAGCTTTTACCCCAGCATATTTAGCTAACAGCCAGCTACAGTGCACATACTTCCACTGCATCATTCTTTTTCTGATGCGGACATCTAAGGTGTAAGCCCAAACAGCATCTGGGAGCACATGACTCTACATGTTTTGCAAAACAGATTTTCAAGAGTTGTGGAAGGAATGTTTTCTCAGAATTAACTTTCTGGTTTCTAATGCTCCACTTTTTGTTTTTACATAACTTTGGCAAGCTGGCTGAGGTTTCCATGGGCAAATACGTTACAGTAAAAGCCTCGATGCAAACCAGATGCAGAGCAGGAAGGGGCAGGAAAGCTGTTTTGCTTTGAAGTCGGATGAATTTCTTGATCCAGGTTGCTACAGAGCTGCACAGACAGCTGCAGCACCACAGCACAGGGAAGGAGCAGGGCAGATGAGGGAACCACCAGAAATCTGTGCACTTACTCAACTATAAACAACACCACTTTCTCCTCTAGTTTATCAGGTCACCAGATTTGAATTTCATTGTAGCTGGCAACGCACACAGAGTCCACATGTAGGATTACTCTTTAAAAGAAGCAGCCACCTATGTAATGAAACAGACCAAAAAACCTTCTTGTTACCTTTAATGATGTTAGTTGAAGTTAACAGGTTACTAAATTACAACAGTGCTTCAGCACTAGAAAAAGTATCTTTTCTTTTACTCTCACTCAAAATCTCTAGGTTTTCTTTCAATGTATTAAGCTCCAAACAGTGTCCAAAAGATCCATCTCTTCCTACTCTCATATCATCTAAGGAAATCAAAAGAAAGATACCTAAGAATTCCATGTCTTCCAAGCTTGCCTAAAAAGTCAGGTTCTCTAAAACTTTTATACTGTTCAGTTTTTGAGTTACTTCTACCTCACTCCCCCCTCCTCTCTCTCTCTTTTTAAGCTCTCAAAGCATGGTGTCTGCAGCCAGACATGATACTTGCAAATAAGACCTGACCAGCACGAGAAGGAATAAATAGCTTCTATGTCTTGCATAAACAAAATCTTGTTAATACAAACCCTGAGCTAGCCTATATTTCTCTGGTTTGCTTCTCAGATTATCATATTTGTGATAATGTAAAGTTTTACTAAAGTCAAGGTTTATCAGATGTACTGTCTTCCCATTATCCACCAGGCCTAGAGGGGATCTAGGATATCCACCACCTAAAAAATAAACCAGTGATAAGAGTTGGGAGGGGTGGAATGCTTACTGCAATATCCTTCCAGGTATTAAATGACATTGATAGACCCTGATCCATTCATCCCTGACTCCCCGATCTCCCACCCTTCCCCTCTATATGGGAACATTGAAAACTTTTTCTTAAAAATAATACCTTTCTCTACTGTGTTCTGGGAGATGTCTGTTTACAAGTTCCCAGTTCAGGGAGAACAGGAGCTGCAGCTCTGTGCCAAACAGGGCTCTCATGCTCGCAGTTATTGCGCAAGGTGTTTTGTAAAGTGCACTCCAGCAAGTGTTAGCATCAGTGAAAGCTCAAGCACACGATCCAAAACAGGGAGTATGCCAGAGGTGAAATTTCTCTCTCTGAAAGAATACGTTGGGGTTTGTTGCATTTTTAAAGGGGGAGATAAAAACAACTGGTATTTCATTCCAGGTTTCCACTCCCTTAAATAATCAACAGGAAGGGGGCAGCTATTCCAGTAAAGGGAAAATTTTTCACCGAGGCAAACAAGGCAGCCAGGCAGCCAATCCTATTTCCTAACACTCAAAAAATGGAAACGCTTACACTGCTGCCAGTCCAGTGTCTGATAGGACTCAAGTACTCCCAAACAACAGAGCTACAGCAGTTCAGCTGTCAGCCTTTTCCAGCAGCCTGTGAGGGAAACAGATCCAGGAATGCTGAAACCAGCTGATTTACTGCACTGAAGCACATAATACTGCAAGGGGAGAGGTGTTTTGAGAAGTTTAGGGGATTCATTTCTCTTCTTCATGAACACTCAGCCTTGCCCATGGCACAGTTAATGGAAACAACACGTCCTGACAGAATGCCAGGTCATTCTTCCCGCAACACGTCATGACACCTGAACCATCCGCTTCAGAGAGCGACTTACTCTTGCTAGCTGGGCGTAGCTAAATTGCAACATCTTTATTAACTAGTCACTGCTCGGTTAAGGCTGCTTTAGCTAAATTAAAATAAGCTTAGGGCAGTTTATAAAAATATCCCATTTTCCAAAACCAGATTACAGACTAGTTTTGTGTATTTTCATTCTGCTATTTTCTGAAGCCATACAGTAGCCACCTGTTCCATTTTTTTAAGGGTTATGAAAATAATTAAAAAAAAAAAAAAAAAAAAGAGTTGGCAACACTGAAGCGATACAGAAAGGGCTCAGCAGCAGCCTGAGTTTTCCCACAGAGGACTGCCTGTACCCTGGATTACTTGGAGGAGCAGCCCTACAAACAAGATAGTAGGTCAGTTTCTCCGACTGTACAATCAGCAACTGCTCTGCTGAGATCACCGACAAGCACAGAAGCATTATGTACATGTGTCCATAGAGACGCTGTCTGCCAACTTAAAAAAAAATAAAGGCTATTTTAGAGAGGTCAGCTGCTGGGCAGTACTGATTTTCAGTTACTCATACAAGATTTAATAAAGCTCATTACCAACAACAGCGGGGATTTTTCTTCATTCCAAGCTTGGAGGCCTGATCAGTTTCTGCATAACTGAATAAATATATTATCTTTCTCATGAAAAAAAACCACAATCCCCAGTATGAAGCAATTGCAAAGGCAAATACAGACAAGGAGCTGACTCACTGAGACAGCACAATACCTCTGCTCCTGCTCAGAAGTTCGCTGAGCAGGAGGAGAGTAGACCCAGCGCGGCTGTCAGTTTAACAGCTGCTATTCATAGTGCCACCGACAGCTGCAAAACCATGAAGAATCGTGTCATTTTATACATCTGCTCCTTTGGAGGAAGTTCTGAGCAACTGCAGAGAGAAATGCTGCAGCTGGGGGAAGATGTACAAGGTGTTCATAACGAAGACCTGAGAATAAAACACATGCATAGGCACAGACTAGCCCAATTTCACTCTCACAATTCCCAGTGAAGAGAGGGGAAATTATAGGGGCTTTTCTGAAAATAAATCAGGCCACAAGCAATTTGCAGAGGATTAGGTAGAGTTGGGAACAAACCCATATTTAACTCGGTTCTTTAACCACTAAACAACTTCCAAGACCAAGCAGAGGGTAAGCCCCTCTGTCAAGGTCCTACATCTGTGCGCGAGGTCTGGCACAGGGAGCTCCCCCCAGTCCAGCTGCAGTCTCTGTATAGGGCTATAAGACAAAGAAAGAATTCTACCTGCAGTTACGGACTTGAACTTTGTAGCTCAAGTTGTTGTCAGCATGGTTTCCAATAGCTTTGACCACCTCCCAGTTCTTACGGTCTTTAATTAGTTCATAACTTTACAGCGCTAAAAGAGCTCACAGCGCGGCATTCTCCCACCAGGAAACACCTCCAGGCATCACGTCACATACAAAGCCTCCAAGCCCACAAAGGTATGGCTACAGCAGCAGCAGAGAAACCTTTCTAGCTACAGTTTTTAATGAGCAAGCTTATCCAGAAACTCAGCAGCATACAATCAATGTAGATTAGTTTTGTATCACTGCAAGCAGGAGGCAGAATATAGAAGAAAAAACCGAAGAGTCAATGGCTACCTTCCATCAAAAAAGAAGAACTTGCCGCGGCCATTCTTTTCTCCGTGCACAAAGTTTCCCTCAAATCTGTCTGTCGATGAATAGGTGACTGTACAGAATCCATGTGGCAACCCATCATCATCTAGATGCCCTGGAATAAAATCCAGACAAAGAATAAAAGAACACGTTAAACATTATACAAAATTGCAAACCGGTTCCGATTATGTAGATGCTTGAAATGCCGTAGCTCCCTAGTACAAAACAGCAATCTGTATCAAAACATTTTTGTCAGGAGCAGCGATCAGAGATTCAGTACAACTGAAGTCTGTACTTGTGTAACACACTTTGCTTAAAGTAAGAAATAAAGAGAGTCAGGATAAAAGCAAAAGGGTGAGAGACAGGAGAGAGAAGAGAAGAATAAGCAAAAAGACATGTTTCTAAAAGAAAAGTTCATATTATTACAACTTGTGTTAATATGTCTTCAAAAATATAATAATTCTTTATCTGAAACACATATTTCCTGGTGAGAACAGAATAGATTTAGACTTAAATCCACTGAGTAGGAAAAGGTTTGTTTTTTCCTTCTGATAAATACATGTCTTAAAACAATGTGGGTGTGCCACCTCGTAACTATATCCACAGGAATTTAAAGAAATAAAAGCATGTGATATCTGTAACACTATGCCCTTGCAATATGTCAGTCAACTGGCTAATTCATATTTTAAATGCTGCTCTCCAGTGCCTTTCTGATGTGTTCACATTACATCCCCCCATCCCATTCCCTTTCCCAGCCATATCAGTTTTTCCCATTACAGCTGTTTGCAGGTGGGGAAAGCGGAGGGGCGGCACACTTGGATCCTCACCTGCATCTGTCTGTATTTTACCGAATAGAACTGGCCAACTCTGATTAAGTTAAAGCATAACAAGGCTCCTATTGCATCTCTTATCTGCCTCTTCAAAGCCAAAAGAAAAGGGAAGAAGAGTGTTTTAAACAATTGTTATTGTCCGGTTTACCTGTGTGAACTTGGGAGCGCTTAGCACTGTGTTAGCAGAGCATTGCTCCCACTGCAGAATGAAGACGCTCAAGCTCAGCAGGGCTGCTTTCAGCACAGCCATACACCAGGCGCGGGTGTAACAAGCTCCCATTGTGACATTTTAGCAGGTATAAATTTTGCATGAAAACTGACAACTAAATAAAAGCTAGCGTATATTTACGTTCTTCCACATTTCTAAATAAAATCTGACCTCCGATCCCCTGAGCCTCAATGGTGAGGCATACAAAGCCTATTAGAGATTTGAGACAGCACACGCATCTACCTCTACAGGCTTTGGGCCAAGCTCTTCCCTGACTAAATTTGCCCAAAACTGAAAAGGTTCAACACACACATGGAAAGGCAGAAACAAACTCCAGTGTGAGGGGGAGCCATTACAGCCCAGGTTGATGCAGGCAACAAGAGGCACTTCAGTATTACCAAACCTCGAGTCCTACACCCAGGGAGAAAACAAGCTGTGCAGACAGCAGTGGGAAAAACCAGCCACCCGTGTGGCTTTAGAAGGCCATCTATTCATGCCCCAGTTGCAAGAGGTCCACAGGGTTCTGTGGGGACAAGGCTACCCGGAGGGCACACGCATGCCCACACGTTCTTCTCACACCAACATAAGCTCCCGCTCCCTTGGGCTGCTTCACAGCCCCTCAGGGACACCCCAGACAGGGCACGCTAAGGGTGTGGGGCAGCACCTGGTCAAGAAGCCCTCTCCTATGGGGCACATGACCTGCCCTAGCCTTTTAATACCAGAATGACTGACAGAAGAATGCCAGGCAGCATGGGATACCTTGTCAGGATATACTTCCAAAGTAAAATTTCATTTAAAAAAAGAAAAAAAAAAAAAAAAAAAAAAAAAAGGAAGAGCGACAAAGAGGAAGGAAAAAAGGAAGAGCTAAGTGAATGTTCCTCAAAATAACCAAGTAAGGCTGTGCAGGTTTATTACCCATCTCCTGTACTGGTTACACTGAGTATGGAAATGCACCTAGAAGAAGGTGCACGGGAGAAAATAATGGCGAGATACTGAACTCATCCAAGAGCCAAGATTCCCTCCTTCACCCTTTCTGTGTGTGCTCCCCAAAGTTTCTCTCGCACCTGCTCTGGCACTTGCCTAGCACCCTCTGCAAGTAGTGCAAGCCACAAAGTTGGCAGAAAATTCTTCCCTTGGTTGTGTTGCTGCTGGTTCGGGAGGCTGAACCCACCGCCCACCGCCACGGCACAGCTGGCTGGGAGCCGACCTGCCCCTCTCGGGGGTAGCAACCCACCTCGCTGCCACTTCAGCCACCTCCCAAAACATCGCTGCGCTCTTAAGTTCCCGGTCCAAGCTAGACTGAAAGCAGTTAAAACTTTAAAAAGTTAATAAAACCAATCGGACACAGCTTACTGCCCGAGCTGAGAGAAGTAACACAGTAAAAAGAGAGAGCAAAAGTAGGCAGCGGGGAGCTACACCCCTCAAGGCTTTTAATAACTTTGAAGAGGACCCCTTTAAAAGGGAAAGGGCAGCATGCTGCTCCTCCCAAACAGAAGAAAGGCTTTTTTTCCTCCCATCAGTCAGGAAACCCCTTTTTGTAGAAGGGAAAAGTTTTAGCAGTCATGTCAATTTAACTAAAAGGTCAGTGAAATTTCTGTTGCGAACACCTCTTTTAGGATAAAACCAACTATGTCAACATTTATGGTTTAAATTAAAGGTTTCAGTTTTATCAATATGGGAAAGGTATACTGCTGTAAATTAACAAACCTTAAACAACGCAGTACCAGTCTTCCCCTCACTATAGCAGCAAAACTTTTGCAAAACACTTGGATTAAAAAAATATACTGACAGTATTGGCACACTATACTATTTAAAAAAAACAAACCACAAACTTGTAACTTTTTTGTCTGTGACTATTCAGTTTTGTCAAGATTCTGCTGGAATGCAAAGCCCAACACAAAAGCTGCCATGCTTACACACAGCACACATGTCAGGGCTTTTGCACGGTAGGATACAGACTATCCCAGAGATTTAAATGGTCAGCTTTGATCCGATGGCCTCTATACAGAGACTTAATCTCAGCTGTAGTACAAAGAATCCAATTCTTCTAATATGCTAGAGATTTTCCCCTACTGGGGAAAAAAAAAAAACTCCCCACCCCAACAAAACAAGAGATTTCAGTCTCTCTTAGTCAACAGGGGGAAAGAAAAGCAATTTCGAGTTTAATTACATAGATGCAACTTTTTCTGTATGGCTGAGGCCTTAGGCTCTAATGCTGTTTCAGATGAAGTCAATGGAAAAAATCCTCATTATTTCAGTGGGAAGCAGAGTGTTCCCTTTCTCTCCTCCCTCCTCCATTTGTGAAAACAAACACAAAATGTCTAAACATATTTTTAAATTATTGTAAAACCTCACTTTTGTTACTTCTTTAAGGGTCTCTCAAGATCTCCTCTTAAGCTCAGACCACGAACTTTTCAAGAAAAGGAATTACACTAATAGGGGCTAGTTGCAGCATGATGGGGCCACTTACCAAAAACACTGATATATACAAACCAAAGATAAAAGCCTGTTACTGTCGGTATTACTATTACTTAACAGAAGACATACAGTGTGCATCATCAATAAAAGATTCTGGCCACAAAGATACTAGATGGATGTTTTAGGAATAACAACGATAAACCAACACCAGCACCCCCCCCACACACCCCCCAAAAAAATATGTGCTGATTCCTGTCATATTTCTAACTTCCTTTGGCTAAGTGCAAAAACACCCAACCATCCTATTCACCCCCAAACAGCACCCTACTTCCGTGCCACACAGAAAAACACATACTTTCATATACACCGCTGAATAACACATGCTTTAAAAACTCGTTTCCTTAGCCCGCAGAAACGCTAAGCAAACCCACGCTACGGCAGGACGCTTTACCTGCGATACGAGGATCAAAACTACGACTCCCTGCTCAAGACACAATTGTAATCCCTAGATTTGAGGAGCGGGGAGGGAAAGGAGGGGAAAAGACGCATCCATTAGGACACAGGGCACAGCCCATCCATAGCACCCTGCATGTGAAGAATCTCACTCCCCTCACAACGAGGTTTTACACAACAAAGCTTCTCTTTGGCTCTGTTACCGCATACCTAGACAATAAATCCAGATCCTAGCAGCAGCTGCTTAGCTCGCATCTGTTGTTAAACTACGCCGCCGTGCTCGATGTCTTCTTCGGAGAAACGTGCTGCGAGGCCTATAATCCTCCTGCCACACGACACAAACAGCCCACCACCGAACGACGGGAATTACCGGCATCTCGTCACAGGCAGCTCCTTACTTCGCGTGCTTAATCCCAACAGCTGAAAACCCAGGAATGCTCTTTCCGGTGGGACCGTGCCCGGCGAGGATGCTTTGGGGAGCGGGCGCTTTCACGCAGAGCTGGCGCGCTCTGCCCAAGAGCCGCACGAGGCAAACCCGTACCGCGCTGCTGGGCGCCTCGCAGGACGGCGGCCTGCTGTCGA